ATATATTTCTGATTCTAATTCCAAGTTGTGCTATTAACTTATATTATGTACGATGATCGCAGAATACTTCTCTACTATACGAGATATTTTACAAATAAGCATTTTGGTACTGTTGGCGAGCTGCTCGATTCGTGAGCGGCTATGAACCTGAATATTCTTGTCCCGTTTGGAAAAACAAAGAGGTACGAACACTCTTTTTCTAAAAACCGATGATTGGCAGTCCGGGGTCGTATGATCGTGCCTCATTAAGTGTCGTTTCGCGCCCGTCCCCCGGAAAGAAGCGGGGCCCCGAATGCGGATCCGCGGATTCTCAGTCTCGCCCGTGTCTCGCTTGGGTCTTGTTCGGAAAAGTTCGAGGTTAAAAGCGATATTATCGCTTTCGGTAGTTATTCGACAATCAGTGGATCAGTTTGAGTAGTAAAAAAGCCCATACGATTTTTTTCATTATTTATGTAACAGCAAGAGGACAGAAAAGATACATTTACATATCACACATCACACATGACTGTCCGTTCCAAATTCAACTTTGATTCAGATTCCATTGAAATGCACATGTTTTTGCATCTAAGTACAGTACAGTGAGTTACGTTCTTTTCGTAACAATGAAACCAAACCAAATGTGAGGCACATAAATAGTCTGATAGTCCGGCTGCTTTTGGGCAGATCTGAAATTTTCTCACCAGTCGTACAACCGGTGATATCGGTGAGAGTTTGTAACTGTCACATCCGTACTTCCGTTCTATGTAAAAGTATCTCCTCGAGTGTTGTATAACAGACAGTCCGGCCGAAAGAGCTTTCTCTTCCACTCATTCTCTTTTCTACGGTTTCTTTACAAACATATCTTTCGTAATACCGTTCGCGGAAGTAAATAAAACGTTCATAATCACGCGTGTGATAATGATGATTGTCAAACCATCATCGATTATCCTTACGATGATAAAGCCACCCTGATAAACTGCCATTGACGGACATCGTATTTCTCTCTCGGATACTCTTACATGTGTCGGCAGCACGATCATCAATTTTAAAGTTACGCGGACAAAGTTTATTTCGCGAGTGGCGTGCAAAGGCCGGGGCTATTGTGAAGTTGTTCAAGTTGTTGGAGACCCAACTCCCTCCTTCAGCCACTACGAACGAAACCCAGCATTCGCGCTCGTCGAGCTCCTGGTAAAGGGGTATCGTACGCCGGGGTTGTACGTGCGCCGGAATGTTCCCGGGACAAGGTTGTTTTGTGTGTAGAACGCGCTGCCTTCTGACTACATCAACATAAGACGGAGGACGATACGAAAAACTCTGAGAAGAATGATGAACGTATACGCTTTGCATACGATAAATACGATCCAAATGCAATCCAAACAGAATTTTTTCTGTCAATGCAATAGACTTAGCTAAGATGCCTCATGTTTATTGATATTGCATATTATAAATTTCTCATGTTTCCATCAATGATGAAAAGGTTCGCAAGTCTAAAGTCGCAAAATAAGCTTGAAAATACATTTTAAAAACAATATCCATCTATTGAGTGTCGCAACATCAAATATTGATCTCTTAATGCGCGCATCTCGTGTGTTATGTATTCCATGTATCGGTAACCTACCATTCCATAGAGTTTCCCAGGCTAGCTGGTAGAAAATTATTTTATTTCGATCGTTTTATACTGTTCTCGTGTGCTGTTCTAGTTTTATTAAATTCTGAAACATATATGTATGCTATATGATTTTCCCACTTCCCCGAGAAACAAATTTATTCTATGCAATCGCATATTGTAACATACAGGTTTATGTATTGATTTATTTTTAGTCTTACGAAAAAACGTAACAATAACGTACAATATAAAAATTCCAAGCTTTAGACGCTTATTTATCAGATAGAAGCGTATATAAATGGCTAAAATGAATAGTTAAAACTGTCTTTTAAATATATAAATGTAACTCCTAAATATTTATGTCCAATTTCTTCTCAAATTTTCTATCATATTATTTCATACAAAATATATATAAATTATAATTATGTATACAATACTATGTCTATATATATATATATATATATATAGTATGTGTGTGTGTGTAGTACGTAAGTATA